CACACACACACGTACGCACGCACGCACACACACACACACACACACACACACACACACACACACACACACACACACACACACACACACACACACACACACACACGTACGCACGCACACACACACACACACACACACACACTTCTTATCTCCCGACACTGTTGGCATATTTCCCACACACGGAACAAATATATATCACAGATAGCATCCCAAGACGCGGCTGAACTGACCCGCGAAGGAATCTTTCCCGAGCCGGCCTTCCCGCTGCCTCCCAAGGCCTTTGTTATTCTACAACTGTGTGTCTGAGATGTACGTTTAGCAAATCTCTCCTCCTGGACTCCTTTGTCGCTTGCTATTTGCACTCTTCAGCCCCGCATTGTTCTACGAAAAGTAATTCCTTCTTGATTTCTCCAAGGGTTGGGATTTTTTTTTTCTTTTATCTCTCTCTTTTTGTCGGTTCGAAAGGAAAGGAATTTTAAGTATTGGAGATTCATGTCGATATATGCATATATATATATATATATATATATATATATATATATATATATATATATATATATATATACATATATATATGTATATATATATATATATATATATATATATATATATATATATATATATATATATATATATATATATATATATATATATATATATATATATATATATATATATATATATATATATATATATATATATATATATATATATATATATATATATATATATATATATATATATATATATATATATATAATATATATATATATATATATATATATATATATATATATATATATATATATATATATATATATATATATATATATATATATATATATATATATATATATATATATATATATATATATATATATATATATATATATATATATATATATATATATATATATATATATATATATATATATATATATATATATATATATATATTGACAAACTCGCTTCTCTTTTGTACAAATTTCATTAAGTATTCAACCCTGATCTATTAAGCTTTCTACATGTGGGTTGTGTAGCAGTCACTGTTCTCACTCAAGGCCGTATTTAGTCCGGTACAGGTCGATGTTCCAGCCTACATGATAACCGAAACGAACAATGGCTATCTGTGATATTCATTACATTGCTCATGAATAGAACGGATATCATTTATAATTAGATCGTAATCATATTTTTATGCATAATATAAACATGGTGTGAGTGTGTTCAAGATAGTTGTTGGGTTTCATAACATGCTGGCGTTATAACTGATAGTGATTAGATTTAATATATGGAGCATAAACTTATCAATAGGTTATATTTTGTGAAAGATTCGGTAGTGTAACAATGCTCAGAAAAATAAGATAGAGACAAAATAAAATGCTCATACCAAACAGAAAGAAGAAAAGGTGATATAGGATATTTACGGTTTTCTTAGAGACATTTCATAGGCATTAAATGATACTGCAAGTTGAACCAGAGTGTTTTTAATAGAGTTACTTACTTTTGATAACACAAAAACCTCCACTTCACTAGATTTTAAACTTAAATCTTAAAATACATAACATAAGAAAAATATCATACACAGGACCTTTCTAAGATTGCATTTCTTAGAAAATTATATATTTATATATATTTCCTCTTCTCTCGTTACTCCTCTTTTGTTGACAGATCCTCAAATGATTGCAATGTGATTATAATGGCACAGGTTTTTTGACTAGAATGTGTACCAGATACAAAACAAGTAATAGCGAAGAAATTTTATGTTTTATTATGGTGTTAGCTATATGTAAGTCCATACATACAAAATCGTTCAGGAGAATTTATGTATACACATACACAACGATTTTACAGGACTAAATGCAGGTCAGTCATAATGTAAACATCAGAAAGATTAACAGGACTTTTAGCGAAAGTATTATACGATACATTCAAATACACTTTATTGCCTTTCCTATTAAATTTCCTCGTCTTTCTTTTTTTGTTTTTTTTTTTGTTAATTTCTCCACTCTTCCACACAATCTATTTTTTTCTATTTTTTCTGTCTCTATCTCACTCTATCTATTTTTTTCTCTCTTTCTGTCTTTATGTCTTTTTCCCCCTTCCTCATTCGTTCTCTCTTTATTCTCTCTCTCTCTCTCAATCCATTGCTGTTTATCATATTTCTAGCTATATACATGCATGCATACAAAACATACATATATACATACACACACACATACACACACACATACACACACACATACACACACACACACACACACACACACACACACATATATATCTATCTATCTATCTATCTATATATATATATATATATATATATATATATATATATAAACACACACACACTCACATACTCACACAAACACAAACACACACATTTTTGTTCATCATAGCTCTCTCTCTCTCTCTCTCCCTCTCCTCTCTCTTTTTTTTATCTCTCTCTCTCTCTCACTCTATGATATACTTTATATGTATATGTACACATACACACACACACACACATACACACACGCACACACACACACCCACACACACACACACACACACACACACACACACACACACACACACACACACTCACACTCACACACACACACACACACACACACATATATATATATATATATATATATATATATATATATATATATATATATATATAAATATATATATATATATATATATATATATATATATATATATATATATATATGTATATATATATATATATATACATATATATATATATATGTATATATATATATATATATATATATATATATATATATATATATATATATATATATATATATATATATATATTCACACACACACACACACATACATATATATATGTATGTATGTGTTCACACACACACAAACAGACATACATATATACATAAAGTATATATTATTTGTCTTTCCTTTCACTGTCTGGAATGAGGCTTCCATTGCACCACCTGTCATGGCCCGTGGCATATGTTCAAAATTTTCTTCTTTCAACCTATGTTACTCTCGGTTTCTTTTTCTCTAGTTCACTACACGTCACATGTAATATTCGCTAATAATAACATGCAATTTTCGTTCATCTTATTTCTGTTCTGGAGTTTGTATTTATTTCTTCTCGTTAGGTATCGTGCAGGTACACCGGCATTATTTCGTTATTGTCTTCGAGTTTAAGGAAGACAGTGAGATGTGATATTATAGATAAGATTGAGTAATGATATCTAATGTTCAAGTTTTGTGAGTCCCGTGGATTTTGCATTTATGAAGAGTTATTATGTGGGAAATTCGTATCATATTTTCCATATATAAAAATAGTAAATCTGATAGTTCTAGGAAGGTTTATGTACAATAAATTACGAATATAATATATAGAATTTAGATTTTCTTCTCTCTCTCTCTCTCCATTTTCATATAAATATCATATATCAAGTTTTATGAATTGTACGCGTTCTTATACATCAAATATGTACACACGATATTTTTTTAAAAATATATCTAATTCCAACACAACACCACATACTTGAAACACATCTAATCTTTTTGTTTCATCACAAAATTATGACAAGTTTCAGGAGTATCTCTACAAGGGCCTTCTATTATCACAGTCACGTAAGGTATCATCATTGAACAACAGAAAATATCGATGTTATACGTTTTCTCTCTCTTTTTCTGTTTTTAGGATTACGTAGCATCAGGCAGTGAGGCACCGGAGGGCATAGAACGACGCCTTCATCAAGTGACGAGGGGGGCCCCGTGCTGACCCCCACTGCCTCCCCCGCCGCCCTCCCAGCACCCGGGGCTCGGGTCAGGCACCCCCAGCAGCAGGGACACCGGGTCGGGGTCGGACATGGACGCCAGGTACGGGAACGACGCCAGGTTGTCCTCGAACGCCTGCGAGCTGGACGCCTCGCACAGGAGGGACACGAAGTCGGCCTCGGCGGAGGTCGGGGCGATTTCGCTCGCCTCGTGGTCGGGCTTCACGCCTGCGCTGAGCTTGCTGGAGAGAGCGTCGCCCGGGGCTGCCTTCTGCTTTGCCGAGGGGCCGTCCAGGATGGTGGACAGCACCCACGAGCACGTGTCCTGCGGGGCGCTGCCGTCCAGGATGTCCTGCAGGGACCGGATGTAGGCGGAGGCGAGTCTCAGCGTGGCGATCTTGGTCATGTCCGAGGCGGCGCGGCGACTGCACACCCACGACGGCAACACGCCGCGGAGGCTCTCGAAGGCGGTGTTGATCTGCCGCATGCGGTAGCGCTCCCGGGCGTTGGCGGTCTTCCTGCGGTACCTGGACAGCGGCGCCGCACGCGGCTTGTGTCGCAGGCTCTCCCCGAAGCTCCAGTCGCTGTCGCAGAGGCGCCGGGCGTGAACCGACCGCGGCCGCAGCTGGTACTTCCCGCCGGAGGGGCCCGGGGACTTGGCCGCGTCGGGGTGCTCCTCGGGGGAGCTGCTGTTGCTGTCACTGTTATTGTCGTTGTTGTTATTCGCATCCGGCCTACTGGTCTCCAGATCCCCCCCTCGCTCCTCCTTCACGAACTTCTTTTCGAACTTTTCCATTGTCAGTTCCGCTTTTCCTCCTGATGAACACGTATAACGGCTCCTCCGCCGGCGAGCGTTTGACTCGAAGTACGGTTTCTGTCTCAGAGGGGACGAGAAGCAGCGCTGCGCATCACGTTCTCTCAAAACTCACGACTTGAGCTCATCTGAAACATCCGAAACCGGAAACATTTAAGCAAATGACTCCAAATAAAACTTCAGTAGCTAAAAGTACAAAATCACACAACATACCCTGAAATCGCATCGCTCCAAAAGCTGAACAACGTACAATAGCCAAATAAGCCCTATCTGAAACTCGCTAGTGCAGGAGAAGCCTCAGTGTCCACACCCTAAACGTATCTCTCCCAAGGCCCGCATCCTTACCGCATCCGAGCGAGTGACGGGAGGCAGGGAGACAAAGGGTCAACGCGTCTACCTCCAACCACGGCTAGCAGCACACTGAACTCTCCCTCCCTCCCTCTCTCCCCGACCTCTCGCCTGGCCAGGGGGACCGGTAAGCCACCTGACACTTCCACACCGTGTATGGGTTCCTATTTGTCCTTATTTACGATTTCCATCTCTCTTTTCACTTCGAAAGGGGTGTCACATGGGCGATTCGATGGCCCAAAAATCCACTCGTGGGCGTAATTCTACGACGTACGGTCGCTAAGGCTCATTTCACGGCTTGTTTATTCACAGATTTGACCTGAAGTTACGGGGTTACCTCATCCTTGACTCTCCGCTCTCGGATGAAAGTACTTTAAATAAACTTGCGTAAGTTCAGTTTATTGTCGGGAGTACATTACAGACAACAAGTTTATTTATTAACTGGACCATTACGCGCAAATACATGAGGAATAATAATCGATCAAAGTGCCTCTTAATAGGACGTTCAGAGTTCAGATTGCACGATGAATTGCAGAGATAGAGGAGAGAGAGAGAGAGGGAGGAAAAAAAAGCAAAAATCATGATTGGCAAACACGTATTCATCGCTCGGTATCGACGTGAGATCTGAGTCGCAACAACACTTCCTTCTTAATCTCAAGCAATCCATCCACTAAAATACCCCTTTTTTTTCTTTCTCTTTTCGGTTCCTTTTCTTATAACAAGAGATGGCATGTTGTTTAGCACTGCTTGGAGGAGTCGACTGTGCGTGCGCTGGTAGGACAATCCATAAAAATTTTCTGCTCTCGGTCGGCTGAGCGGTTACGCAGCGTGACGCTCATCTTGGGTCTAGAATGGAGCAAGAAACTCTCGAAATTTGTTTATTTCTTTTATTCCGAGATAAAACACAAACATGACACCGATTCTGTTATTTTGAAAAAAAAGGACGAAATAAAGTCCAGTTCCAGCGAAAACGGGACGAGAGAAAGAGAGTGGAAAATGCAGAAAAAAGGGCGAGGAACTGCCATATCACCTAAGCGCCATGAATACTTGATGCAACATTATTTCCAAGCTTCTTACAAGGTGATGCGAAAAATACTTCGGGGTATTCATTGCCGCTACTGTATCCTCTCTCTTCCTATCCCTTCCTCCTTCTCTTTTCTCTTCTCTTTCTTTTGTCTCTCTGTTTGCCTGTCTATTTGTCAATTTGTTTATTTGTTTGTCAGTCTGTCTATCTACTCGTATATTTGCCCGTCAATCTCTCTCTCTCTCTCTCTCTCTCTCTCTCTCTCTCTCTCTCTCTCTCTCTCTCTCTCTCTCTCTCTCTCTCTCTCTCTCTCTCTCTCTTTCTCACTCTCACCCTTTCTCTTTTTCCCGCTTTGCCCTCTCTCTTTCTTTCTCTTTCTCCTTCTTCCTCACCTCCCAACATCACCTCCGTCTCCCTCAGCATGGCGACGCTGGTCTCCACCCAAGAGGATAAAAAACAAACTACCAGAACAACAGCAACAACAATAAAAAAAAACAACAAAAAAAAAACACTCGAATATCTTTCTGTCGTCTTCAACTTCGCTTGACCTTTGACCTCCCTTCCCCTCTCCGAAACCCACCAGTCACCAACGTGGGGGAGGGGGAGGGGGTGGGGAGGAATGGTATGCAGGGGGAAGGGGTGGGGGGAGGGGAGAAAGGCTGACAGGGGGAGGGGGGAGGGGGGGAGGGGGGAAAGGCTGGCAGGGGGAGGGGGGTGGGGGAGAGGAAAGGCTGGGCAGGGGGAAGGGGTGGGGGAGGGGAAAGGCTGGGCAAGGGGGGGAGGGGCTGAGATGGTAATGAGGGGAGGGGAGGGGGGAGAGAGAGAGAGTCAAACTCTTATACTTAATTCTTGACCGGGTATGTTGGTGGGAGGGGGGGGGGGAGGTGGATAGGAAGGAAAGGACAAAAAAAAGGAGGAGGAGAGAAGGCTGGGGGGGGGGGGGGTGAGGAAGAGGAGAGAAGGGATAAGGAAAAGGACAGAAGGAACGGAGAGAAGGAGGAGAGTGGGGAATGAAGGAGGAAGACGAGGTGGAAGAGAAGGAAGGAGGAGGAGAGGACAGAAAGGAGGAGGATACGGCGAAAAGGAAAATGAGGGGGGTAGGGAGAAGAGAGAAAGAGACGGAGAGAGGGGATGATGAGGAGAAGGAGGAGGTGGAGAAGGAGGAGGAGAAAGAGGAGGAGTAAAGGAGGAGGTAGAGAAGGAGAAGGAGAAGGAGGAAGAGCAGAAGGAGGAAGAGGAGAAGGAGGAAAAGGAGGAGGAGGAGGAGCAGAAGGAGGAAGAGGAGAAGGAGGAATAGAAGGAGGAGAGAGAAGCAGGCGGAGGAGAAGGACGAGGAGGAGAAGGAGAAGCAGGAGGAGGAAGAGGAGGAGGAGGAGGAGAGAGGGGGGAAGGGAGGGAAGGAATATTGGAAGGGAATGCTCCACCCTTGTACTGACACAAACATTAACTGTGGAATATTTATTGTTGCTTGCGAGCGTCTGTTTCTAGGTGTGTATATATATGCTTGTGGCTGGGTTGTGGTTATTCTTATACGTGTCTCTGTATAAATG